GACAAATAATATTCACACAAGCGACAACTATCTCCAACGAGACAATCTAACCATCTCCCCATGCAATTCAAGGGCATTACCATCACTGAATAACGTCTAAACATCCTGATGTTATCATTGACTAGAAACGGAACTGGACCAGCTATATAACTGCTGTGACTACAACAGCAGGATACCGGCTAGGATTTCCGCAGTGAGTAACTCATCTCCTGACTTGCCTGTTCACCATCTATAAACACAAGGAGGGTTGTGGAATATTCCCTTCTTGCAAGGATAGGTGCAGTTCCAACAAACAAACAGTTCCAACCATCCAGCACAAAGCAGACTGCTAGACTGGCACTCTATCTGCCACCTTCAACATTCACTCCCTTCACACTGATACACAGTAGCAGCAGTGTGTACTATCTATAATGGTCTTGTCAAACAGGCCGGCCACATTTGCCCTGCTGAGGGGTCCTTTGTAGTCTAACAAGTCAGTGCTCAAAACACAGGTGAGTTAAGTGTTGGTGGAAGATTTTGAAACGACTTGTTCCTCCAATGAGAGGCATGCTTCCTGTCACCGGGAAGTCAGTTTACATGTTGAAATATTGTAACGAAGGACAGTTTCCCGGCGGTTGCCAATAGCACATCAACCCTCCACTTGGTGGGGAGCAGCCTTCCGATACCAGGCCAGGAAATAAGCTTTCTTTATGCAAAGAGGGAGCCAGATGCAGGATAGGCTGTGACCAAAGTGATGACTGTGGATGGCTGGGGGGAGGGGAGGGGAGGGTAGGGGGGAAAGTGATAAGGAGCAGCATTTGTATCAATGACACAGCCAGGGACAGCAGGAGTGTTAGATTGGCTGGGAGCTGGAGGTGCTTGTCGAAATAATCACGTCTGTCTCCAACCCACTCCTTAGGCAATGACAGTCATCAAACCAGCAAAAGGCTTTTTCATACAGAACATCTCAGGTGGAATCCATCTTGTTTTTACAGGTAGAGTACAGAAAATGGAAGTAGGTAAGATTACAAGGTGATGCAGTGAAGGTGAGATTAGTTCTGAAGCAACTTGACAAAGATCTGATGCCAACAAAAACAAAGTTGCTGGAGAAGCTCAGGTCTGGCAGCATCTGTGGAGGAGAAAACAGAGTTAACGTTTCGGGTCCAGTGACCCTTCCTCAGAACTGGACCCAAAACGTTAACTCTGTTTTCTCCTCCACAGATGCTGCCAGACCTGCTG